TAGCCAACGGTCCAATACTGTAAATCACAAATACTATGGCAGAGGACACAGGACTATGTACAAGGTCTCATTGACGCTCCGACCAAGTAGCGTAAACAAGGTCGAACCATCATAATAATATTATGTAAATGAAAATAAAGATATATATAAAATGCTTCGTTATTATTCGTATTTTGTTTAATTAAACAATGGCTTTAAATACATAAAACTATATATATATATATATACATATATAAATTATAAAATTTATGACGATGAGAATAAGCAGAGATTTCAAAGAATATATTCTCAGATGTAGGAACAAGTTGATTTTGTGTATCCCAATCAGGATGTGAGATTGTTGCAATATACTAAAGATATAACGAACAACGCTCTCAATCAAGCCCCTCAACCGGTAAAATTGTTAGTAGTAGTTTATAATACAGTTGAATTCCATATAAATATACTTAATTATTGGTCAAAATAGCCACTACTTATCAGATGTATACAACTCGATATAGCAAATTAAAATAAGTTTCTTGTTTACAATGCAAAAGCTGAATTTATGAATACCACTTATCGATACATAGTCATTGTGTATGACTTGAGAGTCTATTTAAAGGCATGAAGACATGACCTACATTGTTTGCGGCATCAGCAAGAAGATCGCGAATCTCGATTAGTGAACCAACTTTACCGGTGCTAATCGCAAGCCTTTCTCGCTGCCGCTTTCGCTGTTGTCCAATACCAGACCTGCTGGCACTGGCATTCACTTCAGTGGAAGGCAATGAAGGTGGCGGCAGCATTAACATTTGTTCTGCTAGTTGGAGAGCTGTGATACCATTAGCATTGGCCGCCAAAGGGTTAGCGCCTCGAGTGACGAGTAAGCGAACACAAGCAAGCCTGCCGTTACTAATTGCGTCGTGCAGAGGTGTCTCGAGGTCAGGACCCCCAGGAAGGTCGATCTTGGCGCCGGCATGAAGAAGAATTTCTGCTGCCTTGAGAAATACGTAAGCATAGGTAAAGAAAACAATAAAATGCATGGCGTAAGTAAGAAAACAATTGGCATACCAATAATTTCGTTTGAGAATGAAAAGGATTAGTAAATTGGCCTCACAGGATACTGAAGGAAGATTGCCGTGTGCGAAAAAGACCTGATGTC